ATTTTGGTTTTATTGGCATTCATGGTCATATTTATTGTCCCTCTGCTGGGACAACTCCGGGCTTTCTTGGCTGGTGTGTGCATGTGCACACACATTCCTTCCAGCACCTTTCAACTATCAATTCACAAAGATTGCTTTCAATTCTGAAACTATAACATTTCAAACAAGAGCGGCTGAAATAAAATAGAACATTAAAGCAGTCTCGTGGGTTCAGGCAAGTGCACGGCAACCGGGAAAGCCAAAAAGAGGGATCTTTTTGCTTTCCCACTTGATGAAGGTTACAGTCTCCTCGTGACTTGTTTTCTTAACTTTAATATCATTTGATATTTTTCCAGTCCTGTTATAGCCAGAGCTTTAGACACTTGAAATAGCTTGTGCATCACGAGGAGCAAAGGGCAGCTCGACCTTGTCTCCTGTCACTTCTCCGTCTGCTCAGCCGGAGCCAACACACTGTGTTAAATCGCTAAAGTTTGGAACAAGATAAATCCAGGTGGAGGCTGGGAAAAGGGAGAGAGATAAAAAGCAAGTGTGTACTCCTGGTGATTCCCTTGAATCTCTCCACATAACTGAAGAAACGCACGAACAAGGGAAGATTTGGTCTATTTTTTTCATGACAAACAGAAAAGAGATTGTGATCTTCCCCAGGTAATGCTGTTAATACAGTAGCTAGATGAACCGGGCTTACTTCTGATCTGCAGCACTGAAGAAGCAGCTTATATTAAGACCTGAAATTGTTTCTTATTTATTCTCCCTCCTGGTCTTGTTTGTTTGTGTGATTTTACAAGGTGGCTATGGAAGGGAAGTTCCCAGTGCAGCAGAGACGAGGAGGCAGTGGGAAGGGGCTCCTCGTGCAGACCTGTAATGGGTAATAACCTGCCCAAGTGTGTCTCTGCAAGTAATTAGACAGCATTAATTACCAGTTCAGGCTTTGGACATGCTAAATGTGTACACTGCTCATTTACATGAGCAAAACTACCATGTACATGGTGATTTTATAAAAGGCGAGTGAGAGGGAGTTTAGGTGTGATTCAGAAGAGAAAAACACATGTTTCTACATTTTTTTCCTGTGATGATTAGTCCAGAGTTCACAGAACAGCTATGTGAGTGTATATCCATTATACATCCTTACAGATCATATCATTGCATAATCAATACCTGGGAGTCATTTTAGCAATGTGCTTTGATCATTCCCATTTTGGAAGTCAATTTTATAATGAGAATGGCAATGAAGACAAAGTCAGTTTTATAGTAAGACTGAATGGAGACCAGGATGAACATGCTCAGTCTATGTTATAAAGACTTAGTAAGTCCAATAAAAGCTTCTGGATGAGATAATCACAGAAATTCCCTGAACAAACTCCATTGTTCATCTAAAGTGTTTCAGCAGGCATGAATGAGTTTAAGCAATAGCTCAAGTATAAGCCACCCAATGCCCTGTTGAGATGCCATTCTGCTTGCTGACGTGGCAAATCTCCCCACAGGGCAGTGAGGCCACCATTGAGCTCCGAGGTTCTCCATACCTCCAGCAGTTTGGATCTGGATTGGAAAATGGGGACAAATGATCCAGCTTTTCATTAGTCGTGGTTTAAGCCCAGCCAGTAACTGAGAACCACGCAGCCGCTCGCTCACTCTCCTAAAGTAGCAGGAGAACTGAACAGTTCTTAATAAAACTATTAGCTGTAGACTATGGTTACTCTTTAGGAGCCAGATAGAGATCTCAATTAGAAGCTGAAATAATTTCCTGTGGCTCTCACAGGGCTTACTCTGACTTACAACTAATACAAGCCAGAACTTCCTCACAGAGCATCGTGGTCACATTAACTTTTACAATTTACATCAGTCAAGGAGTTGACTCTCAGCATTTTAGGGTTTGGCCAAGAGAGAAGGAATACAATTGAGTTGGGGCTCTGTTTTTGAAACCAATTTGTAACTAATAGTTTTTTCCCCTTCATTTTAATACATGATCCTCTCTTGTACCTATATCTGATTGAACTAAGTATTACTGTGCTGTGTAATATCATTGCCTAGCCCCCTGTGTCATGCAGAAGGCATGTTACTGCATTTTCCACAATATGGGTACAACCTACCTCCCTGCACAGCTTGGAGGCTGAATCCCAGAAGACAGGATGATGAGTGAGAGAGGACTACTCTTTAAAGCTTCTCTTTTAATAAGATATGGTAATTTTGAATTCAGCCCTGGGAAAGCAATAAATGAAGTGAGATTCATGGTGTTGTAGCTGTTTGGCACTGCAGAGGAGACAGTAAAGGTGCTTACACTGATGGCAGGAAAGGGAGATGCCTCTGCTGCTGATAGAGGTGCAGTGACAGCAGGTTCAGGGACAATAAGCAGGGTTTGCACTGGTAGTTTCTAATCTGCTCCATATGCACAGTGCCCCTGAGACTGGTTTGCAGCTGGGAATGAAGAGAGGACTATGATGATGGTGGGAGCAATAGGTACAATATTCTGTGGGAAACAGAGTGATGGAAAAGCTGAAAGCTGGGTTCTAGAGAAGATCTTCAAGCCTCTTACGGGGACCACTAACAATTTGTTCTTCCTCTAGGGAAACAGGGATATAGGGCCCAAACTGCGATGTTAAGGGGTCCTTTCCCTTAAAGCCTAATTCTCTGTTCACAATGCCACACCTAAGTTAAAACTTTAGCCCAGATTGAATGAAGCGACTTGTTTTCTGGTGAACTTCTACCTGACTCAGGACTTTTGATCCTGAAAACAAAGATTTGTGAGGAAATGTACTTCATTTTAAAGTCAATTTTGAGATTAATACTCTCGCCATAAAGTGAAAAGTAACTTCAAACTGGAGAATGAAAAGGTTGTATTAAAATAAAAGCAGCTTTAAAAGTGATATGTCAGTATTTTTGGATTTTTTTTGTAAGGTAAAATACTGATGATACCAACAGAATTCTGCATAATTTTCTATCCTGATGGGATTGCAGACCTGGACACAGTTTGCCTGTGTGAAGTTTTGTCATCTGTCTCTGTATTTTAGCTATTACATCTTTATTGAGCCCCTTGAAAATCATGCCATTCATTTTGATGCAAAAATGACAACTGTGCTGTTCTGAAATGCTGATGCTTAAAGGAGAAGGATGTTCCTCGTACGTGAGCCTGGCAGGTGTATCTGTCTTGTCTTCATGAGTCTCTATGGGTTGCTTTAGGGACCAAACTGCTATAGGAAAGACTTCTTTGTACATGACTGCTGCACTCAAACCCTGCTCTCTTTTCCCTTGTTTACAGTGCATTTGGGGTTTGTGGTGCTTTTTAATGTGAAACACCTTTAATGCTTTAAGCAGTGTTGACATGTGAGTCTTGTCACTTTATGAGGTGGAAAACAGTCACTGTCACCGACAAGTGAATAATAATAGAGATGAAAAATTAGCCATGAAGAGCAGGGCCTATGCATTACTGTGCTAATGACAAACACGGGCACATTCATACATCAGGATTAATCTCTAATAGAAAGTGGGCAATGCTCTGTTGCATTTGTCACTGTGGTGAGGGATATAGAAGCAGGGAAATCATCACCTACTGCTTTCTTAAAGCAGGTGGATTAAGAAACAGGTGAGTAGGATTTGATTGCCATGGTGCAAACCTTTCATTTTAGGCTGTGTCTGGAGCAAGAAACCTCTGCAGAGGGAAAACTGGGCAGAAACCCCATTTAAAGTCATCTTTTATCTGTATCCTCTTGTTTCAAAGCACAGAAGTGTGTGCATCTGAAAATCCTTATTCTGACCAGGTTGGCAGGCTGGAGATGGGGAAATGAGTGTGAATTTCAGATCTACTCTTTTCATTTTCTGGCCAGGTTAAGGATAATTATTTATGAATCTGACCCAACTTTGACAAATGCATTTGGGCAAAAGGGAGAGAGGGAGAGCAAAAAAAAACCCAAGGATAAAATAATACATAAGAATTGTAAAAGTTGGTTTCTACACTGGCAAAGTGAATACTTTGCCTTGGCTGAAATGAGGTTTTCCTTTGATATTGACCTAAATTTTAACTTTTCAAAAGGTTTCAAGGGATACAGGAACCTCCAACCTGAACTGCTCCATTTCAGTATAAGCCCAGGGTACTCTTGTGATCTATCAAGTTGTTCTCAACGCTTGTCTCATTCCATCTAGAAGGCAAGCAACACTTTGAGTAACAACTTAATCATGAATTTGTTTCAGAGGTTTCTCCTTAGGACAGGAACAGGAGGAGGCTAAAGGCCAGGATTTGTATTCTATGGGAACACTGTGCTATGCAGAATTACCAAGCTTATGTGTGCTAAGGGGTGAAGAGCTTACTGCAGGTCCCAGTTAGCACAACTCAATCTCTTGGATCAGAAGAATGGCTGCAATAGTAAAAATCATCAAAATCCTCTTACCCCTGAATTTGACATCATTAGTGATTTTCTGGTGAGTAATAACAAGAAACAAAAGAAGAGAGAGGAAGAGCATTAATGTGAACTGGTGCAAGTTTCCCATTAGCTACAGCTAATCAAACAGACAGAGCCCTTAAAGGTAATTATTGGAGCCAGCTGGAAATGTTTGCTGGAAATTGCATTCTGAGTAAAACCCGAGGTTCTTGCTGTATTTTTTGGTTTGGGGGAAAAAACAAAAGTGCCTTCGTTTCAATCAGTCTTTGCCAGCATCAGCACAACTGCAGAGCTCCGGACCAAAAAGCACAAATAAGCAGTTTCATTTGGAAGGATGGTGGTATCTGACTAACAGCTCTGTAAAACCTGCCTGATTCCCTTGACAGACAACGTAAAGATGCACTCAGAGGGGAGGGAGAACCAGCTGCAGAGGGGGACCCTGAGGAACCCCAGATGAAAGCAGTTCCTTGGGTGGATGGGGCAATGATTCACGCTTCAGCCCCAGAAGGCAGCTGCCCCACCAAAGGCTGCCAATACATTTGCTGTCAGACAAATGCTCTTTCATCACTGCATGTGATTTAAATTAATCACTTTTCTCACATATCCTGAGGCAAACCTGTTTCCAGCATAGGAATGGAGCTTTAAATCAGGAACTACCTGCGATAACTGACAGCCTTCACTCAAACAGGGATTCAGGACATACAGGCAAGCACTGGAGAAAAGGAGAGGGAATTACAGGTGAGAGGATCACCAGGCTGTGTTAAACACTTCTGTCTGAACTCAAGGTATCATCGTGATTTTCAGATCAGAGCCTGTGGGGTGGATTTCTGCCTCTTCTAGTGTTAACGAAAACAATTCCATCACACGTAGCTGCCAAATACTACCTTGTATTTGTATCTTGTGTAACAAATGGAAAAAATACGACAACTTGGATTCAGAAGGGGAAATATCTAATTGGAATTTAATATAACTCTTGCATTCCCTGAACTGTATAGACACTGGGGGAAGACTATTTGAAAACGACTGCCTTTATCCTTGTTCCTGGAAACAAGGATACAATGGCAGACATCAAGGGAGATGCATTAAAACCACAAAGTTGCATCTAACCTTCCAGTTTGGCCTTCTCTGAGCCAGAGCCCAAAGGGTGCTCGGTCATCGGAACAGGCTGCCCAGGGCAGGGCTGCAGTCACCGTCCCTGCAAGTGTTCACACAGCGTGGAGACGAGGCCTCAGTGCCATGGGTTAGGGGTGGCCTTGGCAGCGCTGGGGAATGGTTGGACTGGATGAGCTTAAAGATCTTTTCCAACCTGGCTGATTCTGTGGTTCTGTGGTTCTATGATTCTATGGTCATGGAAGGCACTGGATGAGCTCAGCAGCAATTTCATATGCATTAGCAGGCGCTTGCAGACATTTACTAAGGCCTTAATTCAGACTAGGTGCAGTACTAAAGCCCAGACTCAGTTTTAATCGCTCAGCATCAGGAAGAAAGCTCTTATTCAGCACTTTGTCCAAACCTCTCCCTGGATCAGACGTTGTGGTGGAAGGTGAGGAGGAGTTTGGGCCTCTCTGCATGGTGGTAATTACAGTATGCTGACATGGTTGACCACACTGCAGCAAGAGTATCTGAAAACCCTCCCTTTGTACTGCTCTTCCAGCGAGGCCCTTGATAGCGTAAATGCCCAGGTGAGAGCTCGCTCATCAATTTGATATGCTACATGTCTGCTCCATCCGCCCTATACAGACTCTCTGATCCTTGACCTTGCTTTCCTTTCATCATTGCCTGCGCTTACAAGATAGCAGCTATCTCTTTTCAACATTGGTCTGTTACACTTCTCATCAAAGCTTTGCTTGCTAACATCTTCCAGTGCTGAAAAGAGACTGGGAGAAACACCGACAAATTGCAAATGCTCTCTGTATTCTGCAAGAGCAAGACAGGCCTTTTCTTTCCCCAGGCTGCAGCAGTGCACTTCTGGAAACATCACGTTGGAGCAGGAGGCTCTCATGGTATGAGAAGTCTGAGCTTCCAGGAAACAACCCTTCTTGTCATTACATGCTTGAGCAAAACAAAGCAAAACTCTGCATGAATATTCTGGCAAATACCAGAAGGGCAAGATTGATGCTGCCTTCACCCTCCCTGGCTTCTCATCACCCGTGTAATTAATACTCACCACCCCATGATAGATGGGAAATTCAGTGCCAATTGTGAATACTAAACAGGGAGGGTGCGTAGGTGCCCCCTCCTCTCCTGAATTGACCTACTTAAAGGTATTCTCCAATGACCTGGGTAAATAGGAGCTTCTTGAGTTAGAGACAGGATAATGAGGTGTGTATCCACAAGCTTTATCGATCTGCACTGCCTGGGTAACCACAAAGCCCTGGTAGAGGCTTCACATCCCCTCTCCCAGCATGCAGTGGAGGCAAGATAAAACTCAAAAGGGATTGTCTGCAGGCAGCACCTTCTTTGTGTGTTTAAAGCCTGATTAGGAATCTGCAAGGGTATTTCAAATGAAAGGAAAGAGAGATGTTCATACCCTCCCATGAGCTATGCGTGAGGAATGGAGTCAGAAGTGCAGGACAGGCAGTACAAAGTACTTGTCTTTAGTGCAGGAGGGGAGATTTCAGGAAGAAGAAGGTTTTCCAGGTGGAATAGGCACAGGAAGTGTGCAGTGGTCCAAATAGCACAGAGCTGCTGGGCAGGTTTTGATCCAAGCCATGGAACAGAGGGCTTCGTGGTGGCAGCACAGGCAGGCAGCTTTCACTTTACAATTGGTTTTGGGTTTTTTCCCAGCTGTTTTCTTCCTGCAAACATTTCAGACCAATGCTAAGATCTAATCAGCTTTTCAAGTATAGAAACCTGGAGTTCAGTTGATGTTTGACTCTTTCAAAGTGCTCCCTAGGAAAGAACAACAAAAAACAGTATTTGAAAGCTATAGCAAGAGAGATGGGCAAGATAACACATGAGCATTGTGAGTGATCGACCACTAAAACAAGCAGTGGTTTGAAACAGTTTCAAACTAAAACGTGGCAATTAATCTGGAAGATGCTACTCAAGGATCTGTCAGGTGTCCATCATTTGACCCAAAATAGAGCTATGCAAGAGATCAGGCTTCTCTCAAAGCCTACATTGCCACCACTACTTGATTTCAGCCTATCTGGGAACTTACAAGGTCTGCAAGCAAGAATTTCTGAGCAATGCTGAAGACATAAGAACATATGAACAGGGAATCAACTCAGTTCTCCAAGCCCAGCTCCTCCATATGGGTTGTTCATGTGCGGCCTGGACCTTTTCAACAGGTTGTGTCCCAGTGCCATTACAACTGAAAATGACAAAGCATCAAGACTAAATCAAGCTGTTATTGCTCCTCCAAGACATATTTTTACCCTTGGAAGTGGATTTTTGTGTAGCCACAGCAAACTCTATGGAACGTCTAACAGATGTGAGCTTCTCAGGGTTCCGGCATCCTCGGTGTCCCTCTGAACAAATGACAAAGTGCTCCATCTGTGCTAAGTGGATTGAAATGTCAGCCCCACGGTTGGGGTAAGCTGAGCAGGATTTGTGTTTCAGCTTTTCACGAATATATTTGATTAGCAGTTACCCTGGTCTGGTTTTAAATTCACCTTTTTTCTTACTGCTGCAGGATGCAATATTCATGTACTGCTAAATCAAATACTCCATTAACAGCCCCAGAGATAAATACTGAATTAATGGAATAATGCAGGTTAATAGCAGATTCACAGGATAATGCTGGAGAATACTGTGTATGAATTATGCTAGCAGCTGAATCACTGCCCCTCACTGTGCTCTGACTGCAGGTACAATAAAAATAGCCCCAAAATGCTAAGCTATCTGAGTCTTAAATATTTACTGGGAATAGGCAATAGGTCAGGGATGTGGACAGATGCTTGGATGAAACTAGGACTGCCCATAAGCACTTAATGTTTCAGCCTCTCCCTTCCTGCTGAGAACAGAATGCACTGGCGGCCCTGATGTGCTGTTTACTAGCTGAGCAGCACTGGATGCAGTGCAAGGGACTGCCCCCTCCTGCCTGTGACAAAACCCAAGGGCAGTCAGAGCCCACCACCAACTAAGTGGAAGGGCAAGGAGAGCCCACCAGGATGTGCTTTTAAATCATCCTCATGGCTCTGTTCTTAATTTCCCTTTTGGACAAGCCTGTCTAGGCAGTTACTGTATTTTTATGCCTGGCTTCATGAATATTTCAAGTAGGAAACTCATCCCGAATTTGTTTCTTTTTTGTCTTTTCTTCCAGGAAATGGATGTGTGCAAACTCGCCCTAATTTATGTAAATACGGAGGCGGAAGACTTTCACTTCATTGTTACAAATTAAAAGTTCCCTGACATTTCCAATTAGCTGGAGAGAAAAGCAACACAACTATAAATACATCACAAAGCTGCAAAGTCTGCTCTGGCATGAACAGCACGCTCCCATCGCGACACCCAACGGTGAGGCTTTTGCAGCAGAGATTAACAGTATGGTGACCCATTGCCCTGGGGAGGCAACAGAGAAATCATGGCAGGGAATAGCTGAAAACTTGGACACAAGGACAAGGAAAATGGCATTAGGGCTAAACCTGACTCAGTGTTGCTCCTCTTGGCTGATCCGAGGCTTAAGTGGGGAGAGGAGTAGGTTTAGGATATCAGCATGGTGATGTTTGACAGCTTGCAAGACTGCGTTGCTGAAAAGCCCTTTCCTGTGACCTGCAAAGCTGCTGCTGTCAGGGTCAAGCTTACTGTGAACATCTCTGCCTGAAACACGTATGGGTGAGACAGGCAACGGCACTGAAGCAAAGAGATGGAGGCGGGTGGGTGGAATCCTGAAATGAGGGCAGGAATAGGACCACTGCCTTCCCACAGGAGCCCAGCACCCCTTGTTTACTCCTTCCTTGAAAGCCATCTTGATCTGGACTAGGGAGGCCCCAGGAAGGGGTAGAAAGATGGAAAAGTTTCTCCATACAGGAACCTGTCCTTAGCATGGATGAAAGGCACCATATGCGGAGGTGATCCCAGCGGATAGTGTAGTCTGTGCTAACCAAGCTCTGGAAGAATATATGGCACCCTCCCCACCCCAGAGTAAAAAGGGTGCAGGAATTGTATCAGTGGTGTAACTGCAGTTTTCCCTCTGCCCTCCTGCTTCAGTGCCTTCTATATGGCACCTACCTGTGTCACCCGACTCAGAGGCTGGTGTGTGTGTGTGTGGGGTGCCAGGATAAAGTGGAGCAACAAGCAGGTGAGTAGTATCAATCTAACCCTGCATGATGGGTTTGATTGCTTTACACCCTTTGAGGTGGTAATGTAAAACATCTCATGCCTGGTTGTCCAGTTTGGAGGTCTCCCTGGCTTCCCTGTGCATTAGGATGCCTGGGAATGGGCATTGGAATTCTCAGCATCCCCATCAATGCCCCTTCAAATGCAAAAAGCTATCGTTGAGGATTAATTCTGGTAGGTCATGCTGCCTTGTTTCCCAGCAAAGGGCATCCTGCTTTTTGGTGCTGGATGCCTAGAATTCCAGCAACATCATTTCCCTTTTTACAAATCCATCAGGCTGCAGACACAGTCGGGTACAATGTGTTCAGACATCCAGTGCAAGGAAAACTAATAATAATACTGATGCTTTTTATTGGCTTCACACACCATAGCTTGTACTTCTTCTCCCCGGGGCCAGATAAAAGTTTTGTGGTGTTATTTAAGCAAAAGCCCATTTTGGCATCAGAGCTGGCAGAAATACCGAGAGCTTCATTTCTCCCCCTTCCCCTTCTCTTCCTCCTCTTGTAATCTTTGATAAAGAAAAAAGTGTGCTCCAAAAAAGGTATGTTAATTAACAATTAATTCCTTTATCTTATAGCACTGAGACTTTAAGACCTGAAAAAGATGTAAAGTAAAATGAGTGGTAATTAGCTTTTTAGAGCATTAAATAAACAGTGACATGAACGACAGAGAATTAATGTTATGCATTTATTTTTAACAATATTTATATAGGCAGTTTTTGAACAGGGCCCTGTGGCAACAGTTTCCACTAATACAGGCAAAACAACACTGAGAAATAATTACATTTAGCCTGCATTAAGACAGCAATATGCAAATCAAAGGAATAATGAAGAGAAGCCTGTTAATAGGGTTTTTGGAGACTCTCTACTTGCATATAATACTGGGCTTTGTTTTCCTCTGAAGAATGCAAAAATTGCCACCCTCCATCATCTCAAGCCCCAGGCCTATGGCTCTGTGTGACTAGCACTGATACAGATGGGAGCTCTCAGCCAAGGTGAAGGTTCCTTGAAGTGATGCTTTGGGCACTGCTGTTTGCTTCAGGGGGGACCCACTTGCAGGAAGCAGTGAGCAGAGGAGGATGCATTGGTCGGCTCCCACTGCTCCCTCCACAAGCCAGCCCCAGCCTTGAAAAACAGGGCAGAGCTCAACAGTTCCCTCCCGAGTCCTTGTTAGAACACCTGAATGAGGTGCCCTGATTTCCAGAAGGATTAACCCTGTAAATGAAGAGTGCAGAAAAGCTCGAGAACATGAATTTCAGCACTAACAACCCCCCTTTTTTCTGACTGAATGTATTTATTCTTTGCCATTGCTGTTTCAATCTTTTGGGGCACCTCTGGGAGCTGTTCTTCCCCATGTTAACATGCTCGGCGTGTGCTAACTGCCATCCAAACCACTTCATTAGTGACCCCTCGGCATGCACAGGCTTCACTTGGCAGGGTCGTTGGCACAGAGGAAACCTCCCTTATCTGGACATTCATAACCCTCAGAAAGGGACAAAGAAAACAAAACTTTGGCTCCTAATCAGCTGGAACACCCACGATCATCCATCTTCCGTTATCGCTCCAGCAAATGTAGAAGGAAATGGGGAGATCTGTAAAAGCTTGTTTGTGTTACTCAGTTTTACTGCTAATAGGGTCTGCTAATTAAGAAAGGAGCCACAGCACATGAATCCTTGAAACACTTTTTAATTAACACGCTTTCTAAAGTCACAGTCAGAGGGGAGAGAGGGGTGAGGCATCCTCCTCTGCTCTGCCTACCCAGCACCAGGAGCCCAGTGCTGCCCTGTCCACAGGCTGATTTCCAGCCTGCCTTCAGAAATGCCTGTCTTAATTAAAGGAGAAAAGGCATCACTGACAGTCCTCAATCAAGCGTTTAATGAAGAGCTGACAGGGCACTTAATGGCATCGGTCTGTTGTCAGTCAATGAAGTGACAGCAGGACATATATTAATATCATAACCTCCATTTCAGGATCTACTGCGGGATGCTGCAACCTCCTGTCAGTGTTTTACAGGGCTTGGCATCAGATATAAATCACAGGGTTTGAGTTATGCAAGGTCTGTGGGTGACCCACAGCAGAGCAGGGACACCCCTGAGGGATTGTGCCTGGGGGCAACCCATACTGGGACAGGGATACCCCTGAGGGGCTGTGGCCATGGATGACCAATGTTTAAGTGGAAGAATACCATTAAAAAGCAAAGAGCACCATCAGCCTCACTGCCTGCACTAGAAGGGGCTGGGGGAGAGGGGGGAAAGTGGTTTTAGCTGAGCCATGGGAAATGGGAGCTAATTTGTTTCCTTAAGTGGTTTTTAATTGTGTTCTCTGTTTTTTTGCTCAATACCCAAATTAGGCATCAGAAGTTGGTGTTAATTGACAAAAAAATCAAATTAAGCAAAAATTCCCCAAGTTGAGGCTGGTTTGCCTGCAGCAAACCTCTGTTCGCTGCCACAGAGCATGTGCTGGGCTCTTGCTGTTCTCCACCCAGCTCTGCCCTTAGTCCCTTAGGCTGTCAGCTCATGTACGTGTGATGAGAACTGGTTCTTACCACTCTTATTAACCTGTTTGCTCCTTCAGTTCAAATGGGAACATTGCTGGGCTCCTGGATTTGCCCATGTAGGTTGGGTTACAAGGCGATAAGGTTGTAATGTTTGATGATAGTTTCTGTATATGATCACACCTCCTAAAGCTGATCACTGTGTGGGGTGACCATTGGTCACAGATGGGAAAACAGCAAAGAGAAGGCTCAGGGTGAGTGCATTTATATGTTAGCACTGCATTGAGACATTTCTTTACTCTCCTTTTCTTGCAGGGTAAGTTTTATTCCCTGATAGACAGTCTGTAATGATACACCCCTTGCAGAGTGATTGCAAGGTGCATGATGACAGTTCAGACCCTTGCCTTGCTCTGCCAGTCTCCTGACATCACTAATGGGACTGCCAAGAGGGTGTGAGAGTGTTCTTTCCTCTCTACAACCCATTCAGAGCCAGCTTTCCCATAGAGCAAGTCCCACAGCCCTAGTTAGGCTCTAGTGGTTGTGATGACTATGGTGTTGCTGCTTGTCCTTTATCTTCAAACCCACCTGTCTCACTCCCATCTCGATCATTTGGTGGGAATTACAATCCTGTGACCTGTTAGGCTTGTGGGAGATAAAAAGGCCCATTCCTTCCAGCAAGATAGAGCTCATAAAACACTCAATTCATGTTCATTTAGAGGCTCATTCAGGGAAATAGAGCTGTAGGTGAGCTATATCACAAACAGAAATCAGATGGCAAAACCAGGCAGGCAGAGAAGCCTTTGCAGTGCCCTTTTCTGAGAAGAAATGCTGAATCACTGGGTGCCACTTAGGTCCTTGAACTGAATCAACTCTATTTTTTGACAGCCACAGCCTGAGGAGGAGAAATTAGAATGATGTGTCCATTCCTCATCTTGGAACAGCCATATTTAGCAGTAGTGGATATAAGTTGCTGCGGAGAGGAGACTGAAAACCGCTGTGCTCCCACCCACAGGTAAGGCAGGCTGAAATCCTCATCAGGAGAAGAAAAGGTTTCTTCAACCCACTTTCCCTGATCCATTTCTGCACAACTTTTGGATCTCTCTTACGTATTTCTCTGATTGATTCTTTCTTTCTTCCTACGTATTAAAGTTTGCTTCCTATCTCCCACCTGCAGCTGTGTGGCTGCACTTCTGCCAAGATCGCACATAAAACAGAATTAGGGAAGGAGAGATCAGCTAAGAAGCAGTTGTTATTCATTATGGGAAATTATAGCTTTCATGTGTTCATAGGGTAAACTCCTGTCAGCTCCAAACCAGGGACCTGTTGCATCTAAATACCTTGCTTAAGTGGGTGGATAAGCCGAAATGCACTCCAAATCATTCTTCCTTTTAGCAGGAATTGCTGCATCTGTCCTCACTGTCTGGACCTGGTAGGGTAAGGGGGACAGGACATGCTGTCCTCTACTCTGTTTGCTTCCATTGTGACCTGTGGTGTCTGGTTGTTAGATCTCATATGGCACTGCCAGGAAGTGGCTTTCTCTGAACCTCCCTGGCATCTTCACCAGTGAGCAGCAAACACCTTGAGGTCCGTCC